CGAACCCCGCGCTCGAGCGTCTTTTTCAATTTTTCATGAGAAGCTCATATGTTACCGATACACCATCGAGGAGATGTTGGAGGTACAAGGAAGTGAGATAGGTAAAAAAAACTAAGTCCAAAAAAGTTGACAAGTTTAGCAGGTATCCAATCATGCTGGCCCTTCCTGAAGTCCAAAATCGACAGGGACTTATCTGTGGAACTTATGTAGAATTCAGAAATACTCCATACATAACTAATATACCGAGTCCTCCTTGCCCCTTGGGGTTCATGAGAGCCAAATCATTTGTTTTCTGAAGTCCAAAGTTAGTTTATGAGGCAAAACCAAGAAACCTCATCCGACACATCCACCACCAGGAAATGCACAACTGCACTTACGCCGGTCCGCTGTTATAGCTCGCCGGTCGCATTGTGTGGGGTTGGGCTGGCAGCCTGGTAAACTACCCATTCATTAGCGCCTCCCGACCCACCAAAACCTGGTGCACCTCAGTGGGATTTGTCCAATCCGCTGGGAGTATGTCTTCATCTGCTAGCAGCCTCCACCATGTGTTGATTACAAGCGCGGGGGAGAGGGCCTTCTTCTTCCACTTGGTCCTGTTTGTTAGCTGGCGGTCAAGCTCGAGGCGCATGTCGATCTGCTGATACCACCTATTGTGGATCTCCCGCTTGCTCGCGGGGTCCATGCCGTCCTGCTGGATGTGGTGCTCAAGGCGCAGCTACCATATCAGGTAGGCTGACTCTGCTACTAGGATCCTGTACAGTCTAGTCAGTGCTTTATTTGTCTTCCCGTTCGCGTTGTACTTCTTTATCACTCCGCACGTTAGAATCTCCCTGTAGGTGGGGGCGTACTAGGTGTCCCGTCTTCTTCTGCCACGTTGCAGTGACCAGGTCCCAGATGTCGTGTTGGCCAGTTGTCGGGCACTCCGTCAGGATGTGTCTCATTGTCTCCTCGGTATGGCACGATGGGCACTGTTCCCGCTCGTTGTAGCCCAGGATATTCCGCCAATACTTACCCACCTTGTAGCCGTTGTGCAGCGGCATCCATAGGAAGTATTGCGTATTCCTGCTGAACACCTCGTTCCTCGAGCCCTTCCATATTAAGTGCGCTGTCGGCAAATTGCCCTTGGGGTCTACCGCCGCTTGGCGGGCAAGATCTAGGTTGCTCGTCGTGTCTGCTCTGTTTAGTTTCCTTTGGTAAGCAGGCAGCGCCTGTTCTGTGCTCTGTATTACCTTGTAGACCTTGGACTGGGTCATTCCTGACAACTGCATGTCTGGTAGCCTGAGCTCGGGCGGGATTTCAGTATCAAAGAGATCACTCGCCTCTGGCTTTCTTGCGCCCTCGTTTGCAAGGGAGTCTGCCCCATCATTTCCTAGTCGGGCCCGCAAGTACAACAAGCAGGGTAGATCGAAACCGAAAGGGCCCGTAAACTCGGTCCCTTGTCGTTTGCGGTGGTCGAAGGTTCGAATCGGGTCGTATCGGCCTGATGAGTTGGTGATTCCTCCTTGCACGGAGAGAAGTAGTTCTTCAGACGATCTAAGCGATAGAGTACATGGTACGCTATTGCGCATTATATACGTGGGCCCGCAAAGGGGTGATTGGACACCCTGGCCTTCTCCTGCTCCTCCTTGCCCTCGTTCCTGGCCGTAGAGGGGACGATCTGGTGTCGAGTTGGGCTCGGCGACGGCTCGACGTGTCGTTTTCGGTCATGTGCTTCCCACGTGTGTGTTCCTCCTACTGGGGCACATGTTCCCATCATCACGTGCTGTGTGTTGCGGGCCAAGTCCAAAGATGTCAGGGACTTATCTCTTCCTGTACTAGCCCTTCCTGATAATGCATAACATCTAAGCCTACAGGGTATTCATCCTCACAGATACAGAGCCTGAGCTGATATCAGTCAGTACAAATGCAGTATAAAACCATTTATAAACATTATGCTTACCTAGAGTTCAGTTCCCCGGCTGAGCTTGAAGCAACAGGCTACCAGAATAACATGGGGTCTGTTTTCTCTCCAATTTAAGTGCTGAGCCTCAGCAGATGATGCAGGCTAAGAGCTCCAGAACCCAGGCAATAACCATCTCATCCTGGTCTGATTCCTTATTCTTCAGTTCTCTGGCTTTGTTTCTCCAAGTGTGACAGGAGGCTACCTATTCAGCTGCCAGCAATGTGACTTAGTGTCTTATCCAGGCAATCCAAGTGACACATCAGCGATCACTTTTGTATATATTGAGATGTGTGTTCCCTGTTATTGCATACTGAATGTTCCAGGCCCCTGGTTGCTTGGCACTAGAACAGGCTGGGTCTTATCCATGATCCATAACAACTTTAGTGTTGACACCCCAAACATTTTTAAAAATTTCAATGAAGGCAATAATACTGTCACAAACAACACCAATTCAGAGGATGCCAGTTGGCCAGTGAAGGCAAGCAAGAAGCACCATGAAAAGATATTGGTAAAGATGATACAATTCGAAGACTGGGGTACAAGACAAAATCTACTCTACTTATATACACTACTACCATGTGTTTACCATGCCTAATATGAGAGGCAATGACATCATACTTTAGCCATGCCTTTACGTGCTGTTTGCCTCATGTCCAACTCCACGCTGTCAATCAACATCAGCATCGACATCTGATGATCCAATCACCATCTTATCGTCCATCTTATCTCCTCCTTGTCTTATCTTATCAACCAGGGCCAAAATAAAAGGTTTAAACGGCGCAGAAAAAGGTTTCTTGAACCCAGGGTTTGACAAGTACTGGCCAGATATGAATACAATGTATATTCCAGATATTATAGTAAGTATACTCATATCAGATTCACCTATTAAGCAAGATGATATATTTGTAGTATATTATATTTATACTCAGCTGCAGATATTGAATACAATATGAGTGTATTCAAATAATATACTCAAATATATAATTGTAACCTTTAGAGAGGCTGTCATTATCATATCATAAGTCTTTTGCAGGTGTACCTGTCCTTCTATACCAATAATTACATGAACCAATTCATTGTCATTTCCATCACAAAAGTGTATATGAATAAAGTTAGGGACCACAAATTAAAGTAAAAGACAACAGCTCATCTTAAATATTCTATTGTATTTATTGCTACATCTCTCTCTCAGTCTGACTGCTTGATTGAGAATATGTGAACTCTAGACCTAAATACTAGGATGTGAATATAATCAAATATACAAGCTTGATAATATACTAGACTCAAATCATGTTATATTATAAGCATACTTGTTCATATTTAGGATTTTGGTCAGGCTGAAGTATTATAGTCATAGTATTTAGAGAATATATTCAATATTTATTCAAAAAATATCTATTTATGGCCAGCACTATTTTGAACCATTTTAATAACAATAGTGTGTATCTCTGTGAGCTATGAGCCTCTATTATAATAATATATTTTTCTATATACATAAAACAAACTACTTACTTGTTGACTCCTGCCTTGTCAATTTTAGATACTAATCTCATTGAAGTTACATGCTCTATAAACTTTCAACAGTATATAAAATCAAGAATATATTCTTTTATCTACTAATATTTGAGTTTTCAAGTTTAGGCCCAAAAGACACTGTCAAAAGATTTTTCAGGACCAAATAATTATGTGACACTTTTAATTAGGTGTTTGGGGCAAGAAAAACTTGATGTATTTCCACTAACTTTCTCATGCAAACATTTTTCAATCATAGCTTTGGATATATCTCATATTATGCATATATGTATATGTGGAACTTATACAGCATTTGGAAGTACACCGTACATCATATATACAGTGTTTTTTCTCACCCAATGCATTATGCATCCATGTATACATTATGCTGCCAAAGCCTATGATGCTTATTTAACATTATTGCAGTACGGTGTGTTATTATTTACATCATGCTTCTGAGGCCGAGAGCGAGCACAAAGAGGTGAAGCTTTTCGACGGGTCACTCTCAATTAGTGCTGTCCACGATTATATTATGCTAGAATATATTTTGAATATATTCGAATAAATATGATTATATTATGCCCTTTGCATATTCAGACCCATTGAATATGAGTGATTATGAATATGAATATATTATGAATATAATATATTATACCTTGGCCATAATTAATTATATTCAAATACACCAGCAAGCCCTTCAGCCAGAGGTACTAGCTCTGTAGCCTGTACTAGCAGCAGTAGCAACATCTTCAAACTCAGTCTTTACCATATCAATGGCTTTTGGCAGTAAATCAGGCCGGACAATATCCATATCCAGCCCTGACAGAAGGCTGAAGTTGACCTTTATATTGCTACCCTGGACTTTGATGATACTCTTCGCTGGTGAAGGTATCATACTTGACCTAGGCTAGAGTTTTGTTCAGCTTAATATCTTGTTGTAGAATATCCAGGCTATGTTACCAATCCTGGTTATGGCTGCAAAGAGCATCTCTGTAGGGCACCTGGTCTCCAGACTCCAGCATCAAGCATAGGATGACAGATATGCATGCCTCAATGACTGCAAAATTGGCCACAGAAACAACCATAACCAAGGAGTGGTTCAATAAACCATGAGATAAGGTGGATTATATGCACTATGTGCAGACTTGTGAAGCTTGAATATAATTGAATATATTCATAATATATTCATATTCTGAGCCCAATTATGATTATGAATATGAATACAATTATAATATGCTCCAGCAGAGAGAATATATTATGAATATGAATAAATTATGAAAATTTCGTATTCATAATCATAATTGGACAGCACTACTCTCAATGGTGTAACGGTAACATTGGCAGTTCCTGGGCACTGGCACCCACCATCACTCTCAGGCTGACTCACTCATAGTCACACACGAAGACTACTTAATGCTAAGGAAACCAAACCGTAGTGTTCAAGTCCTGCACAACTGAGATGTACTTGTAATACTTACTACAAGACTCTGCAACTAGTTGCACTTGCCACTTGTTTAAGTACTAAAACGAGCCAACCATGCCACGATCAACGACAGACACCCGGCGTATTCTGCATCAGCTGCATTGCTGCCCCAATCGTCCAATGTGGCTCTGTCTTTGCAACGCTCCGTCCCACCATCACCTCTCTCGCTGCCTCCAGCCGAAACCTTACCAGCACATCAACAAATGCAGTCCAAACGAGCAACAGCACGTACCCATTAGTCAAAACGCGGTGGATGATCGTGAGATCCAGACACCAGCTCGGCCTTTGAGAGAGTCGGTCCACAATCTTCGACGCGCCCCAGACGTCGGCCCATGCTTCCGGCCCAGCACAGACCGTCTGCGCAAGCCCCGCAATCTTGCCGACTGTGATGGTCTGCAGGTCGTCTTCTTCGGTGAGGAGCGGCTGGATGCGGTCCGTGTAATACCACATCAGCCAGATTTGTGTCCGGGGGTCGATAATCAGGATATTCGCGTTGTCAAAGGTCGGAGCGAGCATAGTGTCGACGATGGTGGTGCACGCCTCGTAGTCACCAATGGCCGTGCCGTCCATGATGTATGTTCCCCCTTCATATACGCCGGGATAAAGTGTTGCATATTCGGTCTTCCCTTTCGCAATGCACGGGTTGCTGATGCGAGCATCATGGGAGACACCCACGATGTGGCTGTAGACCTGCTGGCGCAGCGTGTGAAGCCCAGTGTGGTCAAAGGTCCGGCGGTAGACATCGTGTGTGCGGTTGCCCAGCCGCAAAGAGTATTTGTAGTCGTCGAAGCCTACGCTGGGCTCGAATACAACTTCGGCATTGCCCCCACCCAGCGAGAGGATGGCGACATCATTGGAATCTTGCAAAAGATGGCGCGCAGCGATCCAAGCGTACATCATATCTTCTCCCGGCTCCATGATTCCAACCCCATCGTGAGGGACAGGGAATGGAGAGACACTGCTGTCTCGCAGAAATTTTTCAACAGAGCTGAGAAGGCCGTCCCAGTGTGGCGGACTTAATAACCGAATCCCCGCTGAAGCCCGCATGAAGAGCGGCGTGCAAGCATGTTGTGTGGCTGGAATAGCATCCAATGCGTGTTCTATCAGCGGCCCCAGAGATTTGGTTACATCTTCTGGTCGTTCAGAGTAAGTATGCAGTGACGGCAAGGAACCGCTCCCCGCAGCATTCCGGTAAAAGGCAGTGGAGAGGTATCGGGATGACACGGAAAAGGCGTGAATATGCAGTCGCGTGCCAGTGCTTCCACCTTCAATAACAACGGCGTATCGAACGCTAGGCGTTGGCGGACTTGGGTCACTTGGCGAGAACGCGTCTGAAATTGGAGGTGTTGTGACACGGTGCTCAAGCAACAACGGTGAGCGCACCATTTTGTTCTACGAGTAGCCCCTCCAAGTGCGCTGCCGCGGAGTCAAGTGATAAGAACATCCAGAGACCGAGCAGGAGACAGTTCCGCCAGAAACCCCAGCCTAAGGGTTGATGAGAATGCGAGGGCCCATATTGCACGTTGCGCTCCGCCATCATTTGTCAAGCGCTCGTTATGCGCTGGCGGGCGAGGATGGCTGGCAGAGCTGAGAGGAGGCAAATGGCGCGGGACGGGATGCTGCGGATGAGAGAAGTCTGGGGTGTGACTCGAAGGTGACATGACGTGTCTGTTGGATGGAGAGCGCCGCTTTCAATTTAAACCCAGAGCTCTAGTTTGGTTCTCGTACTAGTATCCCTCGCGCATTACCACTGACCAGATATAACGCTGAGTAGTAAATATTATTATAGTCCTGAAGTCAACTTGTTACTTGTCTCTTTTACGGACTCGGATAATGTTTCGTGGACCGATCGTAAACCCCCGGCGAAACAACAGGAGTTAACAATTGAAGGTTCTTTCAAGTTCACGCAGACATCCTCTGCCAAGCTAGGAGATAGGCTTCAGCCGCGAGCACAAAGTTGAAAGGAAAAGGCAAACTTGAATGAAGCTCAGCATAGAGTTATGAAAGAGACTTTCGGTGTTCACAAACTTGACTTGGAGGTGTAAGTGTAACGATCACTCAGGTTTTCCGTGCAGTATCAGTCGAGTAGGAGCCACCAGTGCCACATACAGATCGAGGCTGACCCCAATTTGACTTGGAACCAGTCAGTTTTTATCTCTCTCTTGACGGATCTCGCGTCGCACTTAGGCTTCTCCGCAAAAGTCCACTGGAAGGAGTAAGTACTTCAAGTTATTAAAAAAACTTACCATAGGTCTACGTCAGTCACCTCTGAAAGTTGCATGCTAGTATACCAATTCATATTGCGTCGAGCGGTCCGGACTTTGTCTGTTTGGTGACTTCGGACAGACAAAGCCAAGTTAGCGCACGGGGTATCGTAGTAGCCTCCTAGTGGTGGCAGCCAGGGAGAGATTCGGCATTTCATTGACTGCACTTCGATGGGAAGCCACAAAGGACGATTCTTCAATACCATAGCTGGGCCGGCGCAGCCCTCCGCTCGGTACTTCTGCGAGACATTCCGCCGAAGAATGTGGTTTCCGAGCTTGTGGCCTTTCGTCGGTGTTCGTCGCGGTCAGCAGAGCCGTCACGTCACGTCACACGTGACAAAACACTCTTTCGCGCCTCGTCTCGTCTCGACTGACTGGAGACTCTCCATGTCTCACGCGCCTCCCTCGCCTGCTCCTGCCCGCCATCTACCATCGGTAGCATGATGAAATATACCGGACTCCTTGACGAAACCGCCCCACCTGTTCACAAACTTCCCCCGCGTTTTTGGAGAAAACGCCTCCTTCTTGGCCTCGGGCTGTCGCTGGCTATGTGGTACACAACAGTCCACAAAGAAGAGCTTATGTCTGCACTTGAACAGGAAGGTGCGCCGTTTCATTTCTCGTTCAAAGAGCATACTTCAAAAGACAACTTTAGAGCCATCTTTGGCAAACACCGCTGCTAGCTCGCGCTACGCTATCATAATTGACGGCGACAGCACGGGAACGCGCCTACACATCCACAACTTCTCTTCATCATTGCAATACCGCTCTACCATTTCTTACCAAACTGCCGTGGAGAACTCGCTTCATGCCTACGCCGAACAGTCGATGAATGCGAAAGAGGCTTTCCAGCCGCTAATACGATATGCAATGGACGTCATTCCGGCTGACCAACACGCTTGCACACCTCTTCTCATGCGGGCTTCGTCTAGGAGTCTGCGCTCATTGGGGCAACCACAGCGGGACAACCTGTTACATTCTGTCGAGCGAATACTGCAAAGCCGCTCTCCGTTCCCCGTAGCCCTGGGAAGTGTTGAGATCATGAAGCCAGGCGAAGACATAATGTTCAGCTGGGTCGCCGCGCGTCATTTGCTCGAGGACTCCAACATTGCCGTTCTTCTGCTCAGCGAGAGTGACACACAGCTCGTTTTCGAGCCTAGCATGGGTTTTGACGACGACAAATACCCTATACGCCTCGGCAATCGGACGCACGACCTCTATCGTCGCATCTTTGAGCACAATGGTCTTCGCTCGCTGCGACAACAGGTCAACGAGCGGGTCGCTGCTCTAGTGGCCATCTCTGGGACTCCAACGGCCGTAGTGAGCAATCCGTGCATTGCGAAAGACACGAGTGAACACATGACGATTCGCCTGGGCTCGCAAGACCGCCCGCAAGGAGACGAATATCTTATGGACGGCACTACCATTGGCGGATATGATGCCTGCTCCACAGTTGTCGACGATGTTCTCGCCAAGACCTTCCACAACGCCAATATCCTGCCCATCGACCACCCGACTCCGATTTGGCTGAAGCGACAATTTACGGACCGTATCGCGCCGCTCCTTGTGGACAATGACCCAGAGCCTGAGCGGGGGCTGCAAGCCATAACTGTTGACAAAATTGCGTGGCTCGCGCGGGCGGTATGTGCAGGGCCCGAAGTATGGGCGGATGTGTGGGGGGAGTCTGAGATTGTGGACCGATTGGCGCGCATGCCGAGCTGGTGTTTGGATTTGACGATTATTCATCGGCTTTTGACGACGGGGTACGTGCTGTTGCTAGTCTTGCTGCTATCTCTGTCGCTGACTGTCATTCAGGTACAGGCTGGACGGGAGGAGGGAGGTGTTGGTGGGCCACGGCGTTGGAGACACCGCGAAAAGCCCGACTTGGACGATTGGCGCGGCGGTTCAGCTCATACAGAACACCGCCGCAGTCTGTAGTTGATAGTGACATGGAGCAATATGAAGTATACCATGATTGCTAAAAGAATTACCTACTTTACCAATATTTTACCGTATTTTCCTTCGTGCGTGACTCGAATCACGAGACTGTGACTGAAGCTTTCTCTCAAAAAACGGCCATGTCCGCGGCCTTCTTTTCACCGCATGCTGCTACTCCGAGGCCAAACCCTCTCGCCTCTGCTCTTCGCGCTCGTCTACATAGCATCGACACTCAATGTGCCGAAACACACGCCAAAATTGCTCAGTTACGAACCCATCTCAAAGTGCTCGCCCAAAGACGCAAGGAGGTTGCCAAAGAACTCAAGGAAAAGATCGTGTTCCCTATTCTAACCATCCCCCCGGAAATCACCAGCCAGATTTTCTTCTACTATGCGGAATACCTGTACGATGTAATGGGCCTTTCACCATTGGTTTTGACGCATGTCTGTCATGTGTGGCGGGACATTGCTCTCTCAACTCCCAAGATATGGACGATGATACACATGCCAGGATTCGACGATGAGACCTCCGGATCCCTCCCTGCCGAACTGATGCTACGCCGGTGCCTTGAACGGGCAGGCCCCTCTTCTCTCCGAATCACCGCCCCATTCTCTCCAGCCCCACGCTTGTTTTCGCTGCTCACCGTATATTCCAACCAAATTGCCTCCTTAAGCTGTCACATTCCGCTCCCCGACAACTGCTCGCTTGATGGGATTTCCGGATGCCTCTCGCGTATGACCCACCTCGATCTAACTATCAGGCAGCAACATGCGCCGATCACCATCTTCTCTAATGCGCCGTCCCTCCGTCGACTGACGATGTGTTATATGACCCAAAGCCCTGGTCAGGTCGATCTTCCATGGGAGCAACTTGTCGAGGTCACCATACAGAACGTTGACTTCAACCCCGACGTGCTGGATTTGGTTGCCAAGATGAGCCGACTCGAGGTTTTGACGATTCCATGTGCCCCATACAGAACGATGGCACACCGCTCGGTCGTGCTCCCTCGATTGAGGGAACTGGATTGCTCCGCTTTCGTATCGTCGAATAGTACCGATTTCCTACGTTCCTTCAAATGTCCGCATCTAGAAACATTCAACATCAACTTCGAGAACCATGACGGCGCAGGGAACGCAGTCCAACATTTCTTAAGTTCTGGAAACTCTCTTCGTCATCTTATGCTGAGCAGGGTAACCACTGAAATCGCCTTCAAACTATTTCGATACACGCCCACGGTCGAAAAACTTAGTATCGCAGACTCGCAGCAGATGGAATTGCTTTGGCACAATCTCGCATTCTCTACTAGGCGAATCGGAAATCCTCTGCCTGCACTGAAGGAGCTTGAGGTGGAGGTGCCTCGGGTAGACATACCGTACAGAAGTATTGTGTCGCTGATACACCCGCGAGCTTGCCATCTGGAGCTATCGGACATACAGCGCATTAGTTTCAATATGCCTTTTCGTGGCTTCGGCTCAATTTCGACTCGGATACAACAATTTGCGGCGGAACCAGAAAATGGGAGGATTGGTGGGTGTAAGATAGAGCTATCTGGTCTTGCGAGGCTCGCCCTTGGTGCAGTGGTATGCCTCCGTCCATGCGCACTATTAATCCTCATCATTTCTTAGTCTCATGAACAATTTCCACTTTATTCACTGGCGGATGTCGACAATGAATCGTAGCATAAACATGCGAATTGCTGATAACAGTAATAATGCATAAGCCCATCACTCGAGTTGTTAGTATCTCAATCAAATCTCAATGGCGACGTCTTCATAATGAGTTTTAAACGTGAACACGTTCACTGCTTAACAGTCAGTTCATTAATTGAGCATACTAGTATGCTGTACTGCAAATCCAAGTCGGTCACTGTCGTTGTCAACGACAATATCAACATCCCAAATTGGTTCTTCACCTGCCATTCGGGGATAATACCTTCTCTCTCTCTCTCCCACCCTCATGTCCCAATCGTCGCCAGCGGCATTGCGTCAAAAGCTCCAGGCAATCGATACGCGAATGCATGCCTTGTATGTCGAACTAGCAGGACTCACCGCTGAGCGTCAGCGAGCTACGGAAAAACTCAAATGCGTCACTTACCCAATCCTCACACTACCAACTGAACTTACTGCCGAGATATTCCTCTGGTATCATCGAACGCCCATAGATATTACCAGCCAGAAGGTTCCTAAACCATTCATTCTCGCTAGCGTTTGCAGACAGTGGCGTAGCATTGTTCTCCAGCTTCCTGCACTCTGGCGACGAATGTTGATTTTCCATCGACGTTACGATGATGATTGCGGTATCAAAGAGCTGCAAGGGAGGCTAGAACGTCACTTTCGGTCTTGCCTGGATCGTGCTGGAGATAATGTTGACCTTGAAATCGATTGCGACAGTCCTCTCTCCAGTCTTCCGGAACTGCTAGCAACGTCGCAGAAATGGGGAGAGCTGAAGATCCATGGGGAAGCTCTTCTTATTGCGGACCTTGAATTGGCCATGACTCGGCATTGCTTGCCCATGCTACGTCGCCTCATGCTCGACTACGCGTCGCAGCAAGACTCGGACTATATTCCGGTTGTCGACGACCACTTGAATGCCACAGTAACCTTCTCCTCAATCCTCACATTCGAAAATGCACCACTATTGCAACACGTGAAGCTCCGCGGCATAGATTCAACCATCCTTTCCCTCCCATGGGCTCAGCTCAAGTCACTCACGCTCTCTCATGTCGGCGTCCATACGAATGCATGTTTGTTCATCCTTCGCGAAACTAGTTGTCTCGAAAACCTTACTTTGAAATATCTCTTCGCAACCACACCTCCCACACATCTTGTTGCCCAGCTACGACTTGAGCACCTTCGGTCTCTGACCATCTATGACATAAGCCACCCCTTTTCGGGCCTGATGATTGCACTCATCGACCTCTTGGTGGTCCCCGCTCTCACCGAGCTATCTATACCAAGCCTCGACTCCAAACTTGCTCCCGCCGTTGAAAAGATGCTCACTCGTTCCGCGCCACACATGGAACATCTCACGGTCAGAATGAACCTGGCTCTGCTGCCCATAATTCTGCCCAGGATCCCTCCTCAAGTATGGCTCGGCAGGCTTGATCTCTATGAGCTTCACTGGAGCGAGCTTTCCTCTGCTATTCATATGCTAACTATCAGGTTTAATTATCGTATTCAGCACCTGTGTTTGAACATGGAACTGATAGGCGCCCCCTTGGCCGACCTTCGTTTATTCCAGTCTACTATCACCCCTAAGGACCCCGGCCAGTATTCATGGGGTGACGAAACTCCAATCCTACATCTCGAGCTTGTCATATCGAACAATAATGCAAACTACGACGACTATGAGTGGGAATCTGAGTCGGACACTGAGTCGGACACTGGCAGTGATAGCTCCGAGTCTAGCGCCCATCCAGATGAGGTACTATGCGATGGAACGTGCAACCAAGGAAGCATGTATATGCTCAAAGAACTTTCCGCTCTTGCAAAGTCTCCCAACGGGCCAAAAATCAGCATCGACATTCGTGGTTTGCGTCCGAATTCGTCGTCACGAGCCACCTCTGGACAAGCAAGTCATCATTTCGGTATCACGGCGCACTCGTACTTACTCATCCACAGCCTCCCCTCTACTCACTCCTGGACTATGAGCAGTCAATCAGCAGCGCAATATTATAGGATAATACGAGACACCAAACAGTAAGAGGGAAAAGAGGAAAGGACCGTACTTTGATATGGGTTGGTAGGTAGTAAGTAGGCAGGTTCGTATGTACGGCGAAAGGAAGCAAATGATAGCAGGGAAGCGATGCAGAAAACAGTAAGGGACACGTAAATGAATGACTAGTTTGGGCTGGCTGGGGGCGCTCTGCTTTTTTAGATTTGGTCGTGAGTGAGTGAGTGCGTGCAAAGTGTCCGTCCAGCACTATGAGTTTGAGTGAGATGTGGTAAAGAAAAAAGCGTGCGGATGGTGGGTCGTGCAATAAGTTAGGTATTACACGTGAGGAGGGTATAGCGGAGGGTCGTCAGTGGAGTTTGTTTGATGCGAGAGGGCAAGTCGTCGTCGTTCTAGAATCCAAAAAAGAAAACACAGGTCGTAAAATAGATGCCAACTTAGACAAAGAATTGAGTACTAGGAATATCTTGTCAGCACCAAGAATCGGAAGAGAAAAAAAAGAATTTACTGGACCCGGCTAGCAGCATGGACCTCCATTTCCTCCATTTTGTAGCTGTTCAGCTCCTCCTTGATCCTTTGCGCAAGCTGTGGCGTCAGCCGACTCCATGTCGCAGGCTCGCTTCGACGGTCGTAAGTGCTCGCGCTAAACGTGTCATACACGCTTAAATTGCTGGCAAACGCGAGATGTTTTTTGGCGGGCGCAGTGGCCGCACGGGGAACCGAAGACGACGCGGAAAGACCAAAATTGAGGGTGGTTAGAGCTGGCGCGGACGAGTTAAGTGCTGGATGTTGGTACAAGCTCGCTGGAGCCGGTTGGGGAGCTTGTGGAGACGGTGGTGTCGGTGGTGGCTGCGAAGAAGCTGCTGCAGCTTGGGCGTAAGTTGCGGCAGTCGGAGTAACCTGAGGCGACTCGAACATGCTTCCTCCGAGATCGAGATCGAATCCAAGAGGAGGTAATGAAGGGACACTGCTGCGTTTGGCCGCCAACGAAGTCTCTTCTGTTCCATGCCCATGACCGCTAGAATGGCTTCCATGTCGGTGTAGACCATCAATGTGGTCTGGATCGGGACTGGGTATCCTTGCTAGTGGCCCGAGTTCCGTTTGACCTGGCGCATTATATGAGTTGCTCCGCGCTCGCAACGCTGGTAATGGCCCACTTCCTCCAAAATGATGGATGTTCTCCGGAAGATACGCAGCTTGGTTATAAGTATCTGCGTCTGTTTCCAAGATGAGCAAAGAAAAAAGAGGAACAAAAAGACACAACGAACTTTTCAGAATCCCTTTTGTTGGCACCCGTGTTCGCTCCACACTTCTCCGGAGATCCACAGCCCATGGCTCGACCTCTTCTTCCCCATATCCATACTCATCACCACCCTCTTCATGACGATGGGCATCAGCAATTTCTTGCCTGATAGTATCGTCCTCTTCGCCAGGAATCATGCCCCATTCCTCGTCTTCGTCATCTTCCTCGTCGATAGCCCATTGTTGCTGTGGCTGGTTTGGATAATGCTGTGGCTCATCCTCGCCCTCGCTACCGCTGTCTTCCACAAACACCCTCGTCCCATCCTCTGCAACCTGCATTCCACCACCTCCCCGTCTAGTCGCAGTATTCCGTTCCCAAGTTGGTACACCACCCCCATTAACTCCATTTCCGTTGGATTGCGCCTGAGCTTGAGCAGCGCGGGCAGCGGCTTCTTTTGCCTTTGCCGCAGCCTCCGCATTACTCTTGAGCGTATGTTGTCTCGCAAGTTTAGCAGCAGGACTGAGACCCTTCAGCGTGCTGTCGTTAGTCGGCACGCTCCAGTCGCCAGCCTCGAGTTCGGCAGTCGCATGTGAAACGGAAGCCTCTGACGCACTCCCTTTGCCAGACGACGCCTTTTTGTCCTTCTTCTTTTTGTCCTTGTCCTTCTTCCCACTCCCCTCTTCATTGTCGTCCTCCCCACCTTCATTGTCCTTCTTTTTCCGATCCTTGAATAGCCCCGTGATTCCAGCGAGCGAGTTCCGCCTCGCCAGCCTTCCCATACTCCCCAGTTTCCGAATCATCACACTCGCACTGCTGACGGTACTGCTGAGCGAAATGTTGTCCGTGCTCGCGTTAAGACGGGCATTGGAGAACAAAGACGCTGCGCGCGACTTCTTTTTCGGGAGCGGGACCTGTTGGCCGACAGGAAGCGTTGATGCGGTGGAGGAAGAAGCCACCGAAGTAGCAGAAAAAGCCGACCCAGAAGTCGATGCGGGCGGGACGGCTTTGCGTGTCGCGTTCTGAATCACGGCCGGTGTCTTGGCCAGGCTCGGTTGTTTAGGGTTAACAACGCTAGCCTTGATGCTAGCATCGCTGTCGTCACTAGCGTTTCCGCCGCCTTCCTCCTCATCTTCCTCTCCATACTCATCATCCAGCTCTTCTTTTAGGGCAACACTCGAATTGAATGAGAGGGCCCGTCGTAGTCGCCCTTTAAGACCCGAGCCCTTGACAACAGCCGGTGCGGGAGGCGTAGCACTTGTTAGTGTCGAGCTTGGCGTCGTGGCTGTTTGTGATGATGATCCAGCTGATGCCGACTTGGCTGCCTCTGCTCGTGTTGCCAACAGTGATAAGGACGAGAGAGCGAGGGAGGAGTCGTCTCGACTTATACGACGTTCGGCTCGGGTAGTTGAAGCGGGACCCAAAGAGCTACTAGTGCTAGTTCGGGAAGGTGCAATGATGGCGCCTTGACTGAGCGGACTCGGTCTGGCTAGCTTGGCGGCTGAAACCGAAGGGGGAGATGATATGCCTGATGAAGAAGATGTTGAATGAGCGCTATGAGTTGACGACGACGAGCCAGCTCTGTGATGTGGAATTCGGGGCGGAGCAGGAATACCATTGTTGCTCTGCGAAGAAGAAGATGTCGCTGGAGACGGTCGATTACTGGGGATTGGAGAAGAGCGCGAGTTGTTGCTCGTCGTCGTTGTGGGTGAGGTAGCCTTATTCGAGTTATTGCTGTTTGTCCTAACTCGGCCTTGCGAGTTGACCGAACTGGACGAACCAGATGCCTCGGGTTTAGAATACGGTGGCTGTGGGCGCCATTCGTTTGTAGAAGAAGTTTGAGGGGAATCGGATTGTGACGATGACTGCTGACGCGACGGCCGGCGGTAAGGATGGTAGCCACCAGATTGCTGTTGCATATCATTGGGACCTGGTCGTGGCGGTGGAGTCCCGCTGGGGAAGGGGTTGAACGCCATTTGGGGCGGCTGGAAGTATTCGTGTTGCTGGTGTTGCTGGGCAGCCGCCGCATTAAACATCATCTGCTGATAAGCCCACTGGGCCGCCAACTGGGCATTCGCATTTGCGGGGTCGAAATACGGATTGTTCGCTGGATAGACCGGAGGGGTCCCCTGCCCTGGTTGATGGTAGAATGCGCCAGGATAGAAAGGCGCTGCCGCCAATGATGGGGTCCAGCTTCCTTGGGGTTGTTGCTGGAATGCGCCATATTGGGCTGGTTGTTGTTGTTGGGGGTGAGAAGGTCGTTGGGGCTGGGGTTGTGGGGAGGGAGTGGATGACGACGACGACGAGGCCGGTGGTTGAGATTGGGACGGACCCTTGTCCATAGCTGGTTCTCTAGGGGAATATTGCCAGTCCGGAGGAGCGAGTATGGCCATCGACCAGAATCACCCCGCTAGTCTACAGTCACCAGCGCAGTGAGTAGGGGGTGACCGAGAGCAAATGCTCGAGAACGCACTTTGTGGTTTGCCAGACACTTTTCTGGCAAAATGGACCTTGTTGTCGGTCGTCGCAGACGTGAAATCCGTTGCCAATCAGCGCTCGTCACGTCACAAATGCGCAGCAACGTCTTCCGGGGGGAGATGGGCGAAAGATGGAGAGTGCTGGCGGGAAGCACTGGCCGTCTCGGTGATGGGGAGTTTGTGTCGTGTCGGTGGTGGTCGAAAAATGAAATCAGGAAAAAGTGGTCACTCTCTTTCTCCTTCCAACTTTCATGTCGAATCTCGATGTGTGTCTTATATCTCAATCACCTCCTCGCTCCCTTTTTCTAAAACAAGACGCTAGCGCGCTATCGAGATCGTGCAAAAGGCCATCGACGAAGACGTAAAACAGAACTATGCAGAGGCATACAAGCAATACCAGAATGCTCTTGACTACTTTATGCTCGCCATGAAGTGTATGTTCCATTCCCCTCGCGGTTTATCGTGCCACTCACTCCCCAAGATTAGACGAGAAGAACGAGAAATCGCGGACACTGATTCGAGCCAAGATAAACGAGTACTTAGCTCGAGCTGAAACGCTCAAAGAGCATCTTGTCAACGGGGAGAAAAACAAAAAAGCGGCCGTCGCAAATGGTGCTGGTGGGGGTGGCAAGAAGTACGTCTTGTCTTATGATAACTCCTACTCTTTCATTAACTCCGATCCAGAGACGACTCCTCTTCATCTGACCCCGAACTCGAGAAACTTCGCGGAGCACTCTCACAGGCCATCGTGTCCGAGAAGCCAAATGTGAAATGGGACGACGTTGCTGGTCTCGAAGGCGCAAAAGCGTCTTTGAAAGAAGCGGTTATTCTCCCAATCAAGTTCCCGCACCTTTTCACTGGCAAGCGAACACCGTGGAAAGGCATTCTCCTCTACGGACCTCCTGGGACGGGGAAGAGCTACCTCGCAAAGGCTGTGGCAACAGAGGCCAAAAGCACGTTCTTCAGTGTCAGTTCCAGCGACCTCGTGAGCAAATGGCAAGGAGATTCAGAACGGTGCATATAGTCTTCTCGTTTTTTTGTCCAGCAACTGACACACAAGCTAGACTGGTCAAACAACTCTTTGAGCTCGCCCGAGAACAAAAACCCTCAATCATCTTCATTGACGAAATCGACTCGCTTGCTGGCTCTCGTTCCGAAGCCGAATCAGAGGGCTCGAGGCGTATCAAGACTGAGTTCCTAGTACAAATGAACGGCGTTGGACACGACGACACGGGCGTTCTTGTGCTGGGTGCGACCAATATCCCATGGCAGCTCGACAATGCGATCAAACGACGATTCGAGAAGCGAATCTACATACCACTCCCTGGTCCAGAAGCGCGCCAGCGGATGTTCGAGCTACACGTGGGAGAAACGCCTTGCGAAATGTCCAAGGCGGATTATCGCGTTTTGGCAGAGCAGACGGACGGTTTTTCGGGGTCTGACATCAGCATTGTAGTGCGAGACGCGTTAATGCAGCCGGTAAGGAAGGTACTTGGAGCCACGCATTTCAAGCGCGTTGGGGATGGGAAATGGACACCATGTTCGCCTGGAGACCCCGATGCAGTGGAGAAAAGTTGGACAGATGTCGATTCTGATGAGCTTCAAGAGCCGCCGCTGAAAGTGGGCGACTTTCTGAAGAGCTTGTCGAGTACACGGCCGACAGTGACGGAGGCTGATATCAAGAGGCATGACGACTGGACGCGGGAGAGTGGTATGTTCTCTTCTTTAACGTCTTTTTCGGGGCCGCTACTGATGCCTATTTAGGGAATGACGGGGCATAGGAGTAACTTCTCTTGTAACTGCGGACGGCGGAGCACGCATTTCCTGCTCACGTTGCATCTTTGTGTGTATCATATATGGTAGGGTATACCAGCTGCTATAAACTAGCTAAGCAATAATTCTGGGCAAATATGATGGGTGTCTCACCCGACTGAAAATTATTTGAACAGATACCACTATGACCAGGGGATTTGTCTTTTTTCTGAGCATTGATTATGTCCAAGTTGACCAATCCTCCGTGTGGCCTTGGTAAATAAGCGTATTTTGAATGGCAAGGAATATATTGGATCTGAGCAAAAAGCTCAGTGAGGATAGGAACAATGAAACGGTTGATGGGGTAACTGACATGTCAAGGCCGTTCGAGAGCTTGGTGACGCTCAGCAGTGAGTGTCGCTGATTTGCCATAGAGAGCTTCGAATCCTTCACACACTGTCAATTTCCACCAGACTCTGCTGCAGAGACGCTCGCACAACGCTCGCAATTAAACAATGGGGACATGATAGTTGAAGAGTCGAAGATAACGTGATGCCTATTCTTTCAAGAGTTGTAACAGTACTGTAGACAACCTAAGTCTAACACAAGTTCTACTAGCATTCAACTGCCCACACTATAGTCCATCGTCAACATCTGCCAATGAATAAAGTGGAATTTTTCCAAGAGACTAACCGAAAACCATGTTAGATCATATTTTGTGGTGCAAACAAAGGATGGGGGGATACTTACTAGTTCCGCGGTTGGGTCCGCAAGTCCAGAAAGCTTTACCTGACACCCATCAATCATCCCGCCTTCTGTTTGCACTGCAAGCCGCATTTGTCTCATTGAATCACGGCCTTCAGAAGGCATATCGAAAAAGACATGCTGCATGTTTGCATAATCCAGGCTCCTAGATCGGATATGAACCAGCGATGCAATATCGTCGTGTGGCATGTAGTTATATGCCGCATGAATCTCAAGCTTCCTTAGGGCAGGCAAAATTTTCGGGGGGGTGTATGTTAAAGGATACCACAGCTCTTCGATATGCTTGGCATTTGTGATACTGAGTTGCTCGATCATCGGAGTGTATTGGAATACTTTTAAAGCAGCTTGAATTTCCGCATTGTTTAGCTTGAGATGACGCAGAGAGGAATTGTTGTGGTGTAAGAAATGATGGACCGCATCGGCCGTGGCTTCGAGTTTGTGGAAATCAATCCTGAATGTTTCGAGATGCGGACAATTGAAGGAACGGAGGAATTCTGCGCTACCACTTGACCGCAGTACCAAAGAGCAATCCAGTGTCTTCAGGTGAGAGAGCATCATCAAGGTATTCGCGGTTCTGATGTATTCGGCACGTGGGATGGTCAAAGCCTCAATTCGGCTCATCTTGGCAATGGAATCCAGTATGTTGGGGTTGAAGCCACAGATAGAGACCTCAACGAGTTGCTCCCACGGAAGATCAACCCGACCAGGGCTTTCCCCGAACACGAGCTCCAGTCGGCGGAGGGCAGGCGCATCCGAGAAGATGGTAATCGGTGTGGATTGTCCCGTCACAAACAGACTGAGATGGGTCATTCGCGAGAGGCGTCCAGAGATTCCATCGAGCGGGCAGTTTTGAGGCAATGGAACTGTACAGGTCAGAGAAACGATTTGGTCCGAATATATGGTGAGCATCGAAAACAGTCGTCCCACTCCCAACTTGAAACCTGAGGGAGCGTGAACCTCGAGAGAAGATGTTCCTGCCCGTTCGAACCAGCGTCGTAGCATAAGCTCTGAAGACGGAGAGCTTGTCATCCCATCCATATTTATCTTCGCCCATAATTTAGGAATCGAAAGTGCGATCTCTCGCCACAAACGACAAACATGCGTCAAAATGAATGGCGAATACTCGTCGTATTCGTCGACCATGTACTCTGCGTAGTAGGAGAATATATACCCGGTGATTTCAGGTGGGATAGTTAAGATGGGAAAAGTGATCTTTTCGAGTTGTTGAGTAACCTCCTTGCGCTTTTCCGCAAGTGCCTCAAGGTGGGATCGTAATCCCGCAATTTGGTCATGGATTTCGGTTCGTTCAATGTCGATATCAGCAAGCTGAGCGCGAAGAGGACCTGCAACAGACTCCGGTCTAGGCATGTCGGTGAAGGACTGAAAGAAGGCTCAGTCACAGACCATCTCAGATGTGAATGTGACAAGCCAATTCACGACGTCGCCAATAAGTAGCCGCTATGAGGGTTCTTTTGTACAAAAAAGTTTTTTCCGCGCGCGCACATGACTTTTCCGCGCGCGCACAAGATATTGCGCGCGCACACTATAACTCTGCTAATTGACTGAGTAATAATAACATTCTGAAGGGGCCGAAAGATTAAACTTGTGATTAAAAGACAACAGTATGGTATAGCTACGAACTTAAAAAGAGAGTGGGCATCATGGCAAGCTTTGGAATAAGAAATTACGAGGGCAAGGAAGGTAATAGCTTCGGGTTCAGACTTTGAACTTGAAGCTACAGATGGAACAGTGGATAAAGAGTGGTAGTTTGTGAGACGTGATTTATAGTAGGATTGATTCAGTAAGGTGAGTTGGGCCTGTTTACGATTGTCGCGAGCGCTTCCAGGGGTTGGGGAACTTGCGCTCGGGTGATTTTACACCAGAGCCTTCAAGGAAGGTGGTGAAATAGGTACGCTTCTTGGTTGCAGGTGCTTGTGGCTCGCGGTAGGTCCCAAAGCGCTCCAAGTTTTCAAGGGCCTCTGTTTCACTATAATAATCGCGGAAACGCGACGGCCCTGCCACTCCAATCGCAGGCTGAAGAGGCTCCTGAGCAACCACTGATCTCGAAGGTGCAAATGTGGTCGACTCGGATGAAACTGGTGCAATAGAGAATATGTCCAGATGGCTTGTGGCGGCAGCGGTCGAAATGCTCGAGTTGCTATTCTGGGTGAATGGCGCAATAAGAGAGTCTTGGAAACTCGATGGTGCCGATGCCATATTGGTTTGCGCGACAGTGGTTTTAGCAGCAGCTGAGAGCGAAAGTTGCTCGGGAGTTGGAAGTTCGGCATCATCGGTGTCAGATAATTCTGGGAGGAATAGGGAGCTTGCGGCATGACCTGTATATTAAAGTCTGAGCTCATGATCCTGAGACACCCAGTGTACATACCAGTCGTTGCGGCAATAGTGTTAGTTGTGGGTTCCGACTTGACTTCTACTTGTAGCATATCTAGAATTCAATTTGTTTCAATTTGTGCCAGTGCATAACCATAGAGCATCACATACCACTAGTAGTCTCGTCGTCAGAGATCACGATAGTCTCTTTCTTAGGCGATGGTCGTCCAAGCTTGAGAATAACTTTCCGCTGCTTTGATGCTGGCTTCTCTGCCTTGCCCTTGCCCTTGTTCTTTGATTCAGCCGCAATAAGAGCTTCGAAGGTCAATGGCCATGATGGGTCTGAATAGACTCGATGCGGTATTGTGAATCGTAAGCCTGTGAGCGAGTGGTGTTGAGCAAAGCTGCAAAGCCCTTGATCAATGTCACGTACCGAGATAAATCGTCTTCAATTCAACCTTCTTGCCTTTGCCTGATGAGATAGTGTAAAGATCGTCTCCACAAATGGAGCCTCGTTTCTTGAACTCTTGTAGGCTCTTTCCCTGGAGTGCCAAAGGCACCCAGTGAAACTCCCCAGCTTCAAGCAAGTTTGGGTTCACCGCATCTTGATAAGCAAACACATCCTTGAAGTTCTCCATCAATACTTCGTTGATCTTTTCCGCCGACCATGACTTTCGATACGTGAAGTTTTGCATAGTCAACGAGGCATCTTTCAGCTCTTGGACAATCACTGGACCAGGTAAACCGGCAACATATCTCATCGCAACAGGAATGTCGGAGTCGCTGTTGCTCCGCTCGTCATCATCACTCGCAGCTGAGAACTCCTCCTGCCCACTCTTGTCAGCCGCAAATAGCTATCCAACTTCACTGCTTACCTGCCGACAATTGGGTATCATTATAAGTTGGCCGACACATAAGTTCTTTTCCTCCTTTGTCGACAGACTTGGCTTCACTGCACGTCGAGTACTGGAGCTTCGCTGGGATAATAATGTCAGAATGGATTCCAAACTTGAGCCATTGACTGACCTGGAATTTAGTGTGGCCACCCTGGCCTTCTGCCTTTCGGAAACCACTGCTTGCTTCTGAGCGAGCTTCCTCCTCAGAAGCACTGGAAGACTTGAGTCCGGAGCGGCCAACTCTCGCAAGAATGTCATCTAGAGCAGTGCTTGGCCGAGGAGCTGAACGATGCATGCTCTCCCAATGCTTGCAGTCACGACAAACTTGGGTGTCATCGACCGACTGATTGGGGTTTGGGATATAGCGTTGGCACCGGCAGGCCTGGTCCTCAGCACTGTCTCCCATACAAACACGGCTTTCGCTGGACGACATGAGGGGAAAAGGAGAGAGAGACTAAAAAAAATGGGGCAATCCATAGCCGATTTTATGGATCAATTTAATGCCCCCAAAAGTAGAAATATTATTCAATACCAAGTTCGATACAAAATGCAGTCATTAAATCTAAAGCCTGAGTCCATAAGAGTGTCCGTGGCCACCAATTCACTGCAGGAAGCTGAATTGAGACCTTCTTGCCAGCACGACCCAATCGGATAGATTCGCAGATCTCATATGTGTCGACATCAAAATCCGTCTCTGCTGTGACTCCTTCCTGCTGCTTCAGTGCCAATGCTTGGAAGAAAAGCTGTTGTATGGCATTATCGAACGGTGCTTCGTGAGTTGGTACGGCGATTGGATCATGACGGATATCGTGATGTTGATCGTTTGCAATAATATCGTCAATATCTTGCCACTCCTCGTCTGTGTCCTCGACAACTCCATAAAACTCCTCAAGAACTGTTGGATGTATCCCAGGCTGGTCTTCGTCAACACCGTGACATGTTTCACTAACAAACCGGATGTCCTTGAGAAAATGTTAGCAAGATAGAAAGAGCACGCCGTTGAAACTATACCAGGGGAGACTGGCCCTTGTTCCCGTTACCCTTCAATGGATGGAGGTTCCACTCGTCTGAGAACTCGCGGCAGTCGTCGTTGATCTCGTCAAGAAAGAGTTGATGAAGCAGCCATAGATGCCGTGGAGAAGTGTGATTGAGCCCATGAAGGCGTTCAAGCCGGGTAAAAAAAGCGCGCCATCTTCGCGCGAATTGGGTTCCAACTTCTACCCACAGTCTTTCGATTCGAGTATTTCGGGTTGACCTTAAAATTTGTCAGAGTATACTTGAATCAAAGTCTGAGAACTTACGAGCCCCACATAAAAGATGCACGTCGTGCCCCTCGATGCTTGATCATCCAAACAGCTACCTCAATATTCTCACCTCCTCGATCTCCTCGCATGCGTGAAGGCACAACATGGAAGCGATTGATGGCTGAGAGAAACAGATTTAGGACGGTTTGTGCTTCATTATTTGTTGACGCTTCCAGCGCCGTAATCTGAAGTAAAATAAGTTTCAGAAATATCTTAAAATGAGAGAACTTGCCGTCCGACAATAACCATCAACGATGCCATGAATAACAACCCCCCACCGAATTAGCTTGTGATGCCCATCCAGATGCCATAGATAATTCGAGTTTGGAACACGATATTTCTGCCGATCTGTTGCTTCATGTCGCCGGATTGCAGTCCCAAGAGGGTCAATGCGCCGAATTGCTGCACGGACACGACGTCGTTGAACTTTAACCCCATGCCGGCGAAGGAAGCCGACAATATAGCTTAGGCCAGAGCTCGGTTTCTTGGACTTGAATGTCCGCACAAGCAAGTCAAGATCGTGGTCTGAAAGTTGGTTGAACCTCTCGTAGACGCCAAAACTCTTCATATAAGCCCGTAGAGTATGCCGGTGAACTCCAGCCAGCTCCGCTAACTTGGTGAGGGTGAGACGGCGACCTGGTGCAACAGCAGCTGTCAGCCAATCCTGCGAAATGATTTTTCGCGGTCGACCTCGTCGGCCACGCTGAATCTTGACTAGTACCGGCTTCTTGAGGTGGTCAACATTGCTAGCATACTCAGTAAGACCTTCAAAACCCATAAGTTCGACAACATACACAGTTTCCATTGCAGCAGCTGATGCCTCGAGCGCGACCCCGAGTGCCGCAACAAGAACTTCGGCTTCCTCAATCCACTGAGGATTCAGAATCTCCAGCTCCATTGCCCGAACAATTGGCAGTGTACAGTTCAAAATTTTGTCGGCATGTAGCTTCAAGCGATGGCTTTCATTGTCGCCGGCATTGAGGGCCTCGTAGGCATAGCGGTACGCGTCATGGACTATATCATGGGCTTGCAAGACGCTGGGTGGCCATATACCATTGTCGAAGTGTGCAGGTAGGGCAGGAAACTCGTGAGGAAGGCTCTCCATAGTTGTTGTCCCCAAAGTCAAGTGATCACGGGACCATAATTTCTCTTTCGTCTTTCGGTCATGAAGTCTGAACCTGGTATACCTCAGACAAGACAACGGGACCCAGCCCACTACTATGAAGAAGGCAATGTCATTTTTCTGGTCAGTTTCATCCAACCCAACATTTATATTCTAATAAATTCCAGTGTGGCAAGAGTTTATTTCGACTACACCGTTCACGTCTGGCAAGAAAGTCAGAGTACTTCAAAGACATGTTCAACGTTGGCAGTGACGTTCGCATCCTGGATGGCTATGACGACGAGCACCCCCTCAATCTCAATAAAAGTGGCATTTCCGAAGAGGACTTTCGCAACTTTTGTACCTTTCTGTATGACTCGTAAGTCTGTCTCTGTTGCAAACCACACCCATGTCTGAACCACACCCAGTGATGAGCTTCCCAAAGATACACCACTGAAGTTCTTCGAGTCCGTTCTTGTACTGTCAGACATGTGGATGGTCGACTCGGGCAAACGATTCGTCTTGACTCACCTGCCAAAGCATCCTGAATTCACTCAAGCTATGAAGATTCGGCTCTCTCGTCAATTTAATATCCATGAATGGCTCGAACCTGCCTTCCGGGCCCTGGTTGCCTGCTCCACCGGCGACATCTCCCCCGTTGATGCCGATAATATGGGTGCAGTGACCCTTTATTCAGTCATTAAGACAAAGACCGAGGTGTTTGACCACTTGCGTTATCTCGCATATTGGCCGCCACCTGTCCGACATGGATGGTCTTGTCTGGACGAGGTCGAATGCAGCAAGTGGTGGGATGGATTTTGGTGGAACGTCTTCGCGCGACAGCTCCTCCACCCAAACAACACCAAGACTGCCAAAGAAATACTCGAAAAAGCCGATTGGAACGTGGGTTTTCTCTCTCAGATGGGCAACGAATGTCTACGACGAACATTTGACGACATTTGGGACGAGAATCCATTCGAGATTGATGGGCAGCTTGTCGATGTGGCATTTAACGACTTCAAGAAATGGGTAGAGGGATTGGGTATTTGAAACAACTTGAATAGAGCTGCAGCGTACACTTGAATATACTATGGGAGTTGAGCCCAAGCCACAGCAGCGAAGTCCGTTAAATAAAAGACGAGGTCGAAGTAAGAGGGTGATGACCGCCATTCCCAAGAACCTATTCCGAAGAACTGGCCCCGCATGAGGGCGACGTTATTGGGTTAACACCGGCAAACGTGAGGGAAGAGGGTCTGAAGATGACAAAGCGTGCCACGCCTTTATATAGGCTCATCTAGTCAACAAACACGTCGCGTCGCGTTGAGACCAAACAGAGTCAGGTGCTTGTGACGAATCGTGTGTCAATGAATGTGACCCTGCTTGTCGTCAACAACCACCATGCTGCCACCCCTCTGATACTCTCTTCCTCTCCACCATGACCTCCCAAGCATCTTGCGCTCTGGCCGCATACGTCACAGCTACCGCCAGTCCAGCAAAAGTTTTGAAGCTGGTCGCAGGAGATTGTTGCGGGAGCAAGTGTTTCATTCGACACTTGTGGGGCTGAATTTTGCGAAAACTTGTCCCGCCGAGCGTGATTGCGATGGTGGATCAGCTTGAAAATGGACAAGGGCAAAATGCTGCCCTTGCTTGTCATTCATGTGGACTTGGGCGGCGTGCGGGCCAGTGCAGGGGCCGAGTCTGGCCTCATCCTGGCTTTCTCGGCCAGATAATGCTTCTCGGAGCGCACCGACCATGTCCGCTAAAGACTGCGGGACATCTCGGTGTATCTTGGCGCTCTGCGGCGGGCTGCACCGGGTGTCTTTGCCGTGCGGGATCGGTGAGCGCCGGGCTCATTTTTTGTTCATTCTGGCTGAAACTTCCAGCGCAGATGTAGCCGTCTAACTCTCGAGGGAAACGGGCCACCAGCTGCGCCTGCGAGCGCCGACCTCTGTTATGGCAGAGCTGCCGCAAACTTAAGCTCGAGAGCGGCTCAGGCTCCCAGATCATCGCAACATCTCAATCCCTATCGAAATCTCAGCAAGCAGACAACGAGGGGCACTGTTGGATTGGGTTTGGCTGGACTAGGTTACGACTTGTAGAGTATTCTACGTAAATATACCTTGTGCGCGCGCAATATCTTGTGCGCGGGCGGAAAAGTCATGTGCGCGGGCGGAAAAACTTTTTTGTACAAAAGAACCCTCATAGCCGCGAACTCAGGAGTCAGCGACATACACCATGATACATATACCAGTGCTTACCGCCCCAGTGGCATGTATTCAAGTTCCCTCCCACCGTTCCCTCCCACCGCTACCATGCAAGACTATGAGTCTGGCACGATCGAATGTCAAACTTGAATCAACTTGACTAACTAAGACAATGAACTTGAAGAGGCAAATGCAGATTTTCTGTGTGTTCCCCAGTCTACTAATAAACTAAGTATACAAAAAAAATTCAAGGTCTGGCAGATAGAGACCGTGATGACGGGCGGCAAGTACATCTATTCAAGCAATAGCAAATGCAGTCGCTCTGTAGTTAACCCCGGGCCTGTCAGTATTGAACCTCGCCTTGCCGCCTCAAGGCTCTGTTACTCGTTCAGAAGTGAATAAAGGGGAGGCTGTCAAGAAATGAGTCGCCATAATTCAAGTGATGAGTACTTATAATCACCCTAGTGAATCGCAATGGTTCTGCAGGCAAGCCGTGGATTTTGATTTGCGGTCCGTTCGGAGATGCTGCAAGAGCGAAAAGTTCTCTTAGATGAGACTTCGGATTGCTCCCTCGATTGCTCATGGCCTTGTCATCCTCGTCCTCGTCCTGTTGATCTGCTGAAATGACAAGCTCGAGATGTAGAATTCGGATTTTGTCACTCCATATGTGCTGAGTCGGGTCCTTGGTGGTGATGGTGGACTGCAATAAACGAAGTCCGGCCAAAGGAGCGCCTCTCAATGACATCTCCACACGCAAGTGTCGAATATAATAGTCGATCCTGACACTTAACGCCCGAAGGGAGGTGGACAGGTCCATCCAGTCAATATTATCGAGGACGAGCTTGTGGAGCCATGGGGGGAGGGCTCATTGGCAATAATCGACGCAGATGCTGAGAGCTTCCCAAGAAAACATTGATCGTCAACTTGAAGTTCTCCAGGCGTGGTGCAGATCGGATGAGCAGTTCCCGAATGGCGAGAACGATATCAGCATAGAGTATTTCCACTGAGAGTTGAGTCAAGGCAGGAACAACCAGGAGGCTGAGGAGGGCAACGGTATTTGCTCGGTGATCAGAGTTCGTCTGGGCCACAACTGTAAGTGACCGAAGGTGATCAAGTTGTAGCTTCGTAGCATCATTGAGAGGTGCGTAGCCCTCCAGCTCTAATAGTGTAAGGTTTTCGAGAAGAGGCGCTTTTCGAAGAATGAATAAACACGCTACTGTATTGACGCCGACATAGGACAAAGTGAGTGACCTGAGTTGAGCCCACGGGAGAGAAAGTATGGTTGAGTTCATCCCGACGAGTTCCACGTGTTCCAAAGACGGCGCGTTTTCGAGTATGAGGAGTGGGGAGAACGTGACACTTGCATCGAAGTCGTCATTCAAAAGCCTTCCATCCGGGTCTGAGTCCAGTGTCCGGTATGCGAGACGACGCAGACGGGCCAAGCTATGCCGAGCCCCGCCCGAATGAAGTGCAGCATCCAACAAGGCTTCCTCACAGACGTCCATTTTTTCCCATTGATCCGACATGGCAAGGAGGGCAGGAAGAAGGGACTCAGGACCCCTACACTCGATTTCAAGGCCAACATGCTTCCCAACGTGACGCATACTGGACTCACAGAGCCTGAAACGACGCTCCAGAGTAGTTTTCGGCACTGTCGCACTCGCTTCTGACTCCGAGTCAGAGTCAGAGTCAGAGTCTGCGGGCGAAGTGGTCAGTCGTTTCCAAAGACCAGGCAGGCGAAGCGCAATGCCGCGCCATTGTCGACAGACACTAGCCAGGACAAATGGGCCAGGAAGCTTCGGCTCCGAAAGATCAATAGGCCTTTCATGGTAATGGAGGAATATCTTGGCGGTAAGTTCGGGAGGGAGCGTGAGGATGGGATACGTGACGCGTTTCAGTTGTTCGACGGCCTGACTTCGTTCAGCAGCAAGCGTTGCTATTTTAGCATACAGACTACTTGTTTGAGCATCAATTTCTTCGAGTCGTCGGCGCAAGGACTCTGGCGAGGAATGCAGCATGATGGTTGAAAGCAAGAAAAGTATTATCTAATATCCCCGGATGCACACAAACCTGCCGACTGCATTCGCAGTTGCCAGGTTTCCTTTGTACAAATAATCGGCTGTCTAACCATTGACAACTTGAATGCTTGACTATTCCGAGTCGTCGTTATCACTATTTAAGCTGCTCCTACTAGTACTGCCCCCAAGTATATCACGCCGACGGATGATAGCTTGCCTTGATTCTTGCCAATATAGTCCATCGTCGACATCGGATAACGAATAAAGCGGGATTGGTTGAGGAGACTGACACAAAGACTTAGTATCTGTGTGGGGGGGACTGAAGGGACGAAGGCATACCAAATCCGAGTCACCAGGAGGCAAATATAAGGTGACATGTTGTAAGCATTCAGATCCCGCATCGATAGACAGGCGAGATCGCACGTCCACGACCGCATCCGATGTTGGGTATGGCACGCCAGTAGCAGGCACCACGTTGAGCTGCTTCAGTGCAGGTAGAAGGTGATCGTTCAGTGAGTGAGAAAGAGTATCCCAGAACCTCTCGATATCAACCGAGTCCATGAGTGTAAGCTCTTCCAACACAGGCGTGTGTCTGAAGAGCACAAGCGCGGTTTGGATAGACACACCCCCAGTCCCGGTCAAGATAAGATGACGAAGGGCAGTGACACGGCGTAAGAAACGTCGAATGGTATCACGTTCGCCCTTCTTCAAGCTAATATAGAATGTTTCTAGAGCAGGCAACTCCAAGGGACGGAGAAATTCCACACTAGAATCCAATCCTATGGAGGTAGAACAATCCAGTTTCTTCAGTCTGGGGAGCAGAATGGAGTGGGGCGGAAACTCTCTTGTAGATACGTAGGCGGCACATGAGATCGTCAATGATTCAAGCTGTTTCATCTGGGCAATTAGGACCAGCGCGTCGGGATTGAACCCGTCGATAGAGACTTCAACCAATTGTTCCCATGGAAGGATAATTTGCCCGGGGTTCTCTGTTATGGTGGACGCATAGGCAATGTGGAGTCGACGGAGGGCAGGCGTTTCGGAGAAGATATCAATAGCAGCATGCTCCTTTTCAACGGATAAGTTGAGTTGAGTCATCTGTGCTAAGCGTCCGGACACTGTGTCGAGTGAACAGTTATCGGGCAGCGGAATTGTGCAATGGAAGGAGACAATCTGGTCCGAGTAGCCGACGAGCATCGAGAACAAGCGTGGAACTGGGGAAGACGGAGCATGCACCAGAAGAGGAGACATTTCCGCCCGTTCGAACCAACGTCGCAGCATTAGGTCGGAAAATGGCGAGGTGTCATTTCCCATGAAAATCGTTGACCACAACTTTGGGAGCGACAAAGCGATTTGTCTCCACGCACGACAGACATGGGTCAATTCCAACGGTGGTAACTCGCGGTCGATGTACGTGTCTTCTGTATAGTAGCCAAATATATGACTAGTGATTTCGAGAGGGAGGGTCAGGATGGGAAATGTGACGTCTTTCAGTTTTTCGGCGACTTCTTTGCGCTGTTCAGCGAGCGTCTGTAGGTGAGCTTGTAATTGAGCAATCTTTGCATGAGTTTCGGTGCGTTCGACATCTATACCGGCGAGGCGAGCGCGCAGAGCGGAAGCAAGAGTGTTGGACATGTATGTTCTGTGGCAACCACCAGCAGTCACACTCCCGTGATCGTGACAACAAATACGTAGCCTTCCACATATGCAACACTTCATAGATGCCTGCGTTGATGACACCCCTCGGACCTGTTAACTTCCAAATTCAAGCTGGTGATTCTGTTGCTAAGTTGTCGTCGGCATATTGAGCAATGAAGCCTTTTCACTATCAATTGCCAGTGGCAGTGCCCAGTGCAAGAAGCAAGTGCGGTATATACAGTCACGGCGAAAATATAGTACATATGCAGTGGCAATAGTGCCGTGTTTCGGGCTTAATCGTCCCCAATTGAATAGAGGAGAGGCTGTAGTAAATGATTATGCATGCTTAACTCCCGTGTTGTAGTACTTACACTGGATCGCAACGACGATTCCATTGGCAATCCGCGTATGGTGATTTGCGGCCCGTTCGGAGAGGCTACGAGGGCAAATATTTCCTCGAGTTCCGAGTCAGAATCGCTCCCTTTTTCGCCCACTGTACTGTCTTCTTCCTCCGGGTCATGATCCTTCGAGACTACAAGCTCGAGATGTATGATCTGAGTTTCGTCGTTCCATTCGAATTCCCGCGGAGTCGGGTTTTTGGTGTCGACAGTGGACTTCAATAAGTAGAGGTCGGCTATAGGAGCGTCTTTCAAGGGCATCTTCAAACACAAGTGACGAATACGATGGGTGAACCCGACAGTGAGCGATCGCAGGGCAGCAGGAAGCGCCCCCCATGCAACTGATTCGAGGACGAGCTTGTCGAGCCAAGCGGGCGGGCTTGCAGGCAGTAATTGATGCAGATGGCGGCATTCCGCTGACAAAACAGGAACTATTAGCTGGAAGCCTTCCATGCGCGGTGCAGATCGAATTAGCATATTCCGGACGGCGTCGACGAGGTTGGCATAGAAAATTTCGACTGAGAGAGTAACCAAGGCGGGGACAACGAGACGATTGACGAGTACCGCGGTATAACTTGTTGTTCTCCTGAAGAACATGTCTTGTCCTGCGAACTCGGAGATGATTAGCGACCTGAGTCGATCCAACCGGAGATGTGTGCCCTCGTCGGGAAGCTCATCGCCGCCCAGGTCTCGCAGAGTAAGGTTTTCGAGACATGTGGTCTCACGAAGGATAAACAAACATGCCCTCGTGTTGCCGACCCAGGACATGGTAAGCGACTTCAGCTGAGACCACGGGAGAGAAAGAACAGTCGAGTTAATGTGTTCGAGCTCTACATGTTCCAAAGAGCGCGCATTTTCGAATGTCAGGACTGGTGACAGTGCCCGGACGGCAAGTGTATCCAAGTCAGTGTCGACAAGCGCCTGCTCCGAGTCGAATTCCGACTCCAATACCAGACTACGCAGACGCGGAATGTGATGCCGTATCCCACCCGAATGACCCGCAGCGTCCACCAAGGCTTCCTCGCTGACGGCCAGTTGCTCCCATTGCTCTGATGTGGCAAGGAGGGCCGGAGGAAGGGATGCAAGACCCTTGCACTCGATTTCAAGACCAACATGTTTCCCGGCATTGCGGATGAAAGATTCGCAAGTTCTCAACCGACGTTCCAAAGCCTTCCTAGGCGGTGCCCCATCCTCAGCGTAAGTTGAAATGGTTACTCGTTTCCAGAGGCCAGGCAAGCGAAGCGCAATGTCGCGCCACTGTCTACAGACCCCCGCCAGAACGAATGGCCCAGGGAGCTCTGGGTCCGAGATGTCGATAGGGCGCAGATGGTAATGGAGGAAGATCGCGCCGGTGACTTCGGGTGGTAGTGTGAGGACGGGAAACGTGTATCAAATGCCTTCTCAGCGATGAGCCATGAGTCGTTGTGGTTAAAAATGGAAAGTATGGGACTCACAGGACCTTACTTCGATTTTGTGCGTAAATTATACCGCTCGATGACTCTGCGCGTGGCTTCGGGGGGTTTTGTCTCGGACGAGTGGAGATCTCTGTGCGGTGTGCTTATGGGGGACCCTGTTTCACCTACTCTGTGGAACATCTTCTTGTCAACATTCACCCTTGTCGAGGATCCGGACGACATTTGGCTAATGGGCTATGCTTTGTCTCATTTGGAACACGCGGACGACATGGCACTTATCTCGCGCTCGGCGAAAGGCCTGCAGCGGCAACTGGACCAGTTGGGCACTTGGTGCTCGCTGAACTTCCTCCAGGTTAATCCCCTGAAGTCTGGGGCCATGGTCTTTGGGCCAATCTCGCAAAATCCGCGTCGTCGTCCGGCTGCGTGTCTGCGTCTAGCTGGGGAAAGTGTTCCCTGGCTGTCACAGCACAAGTATGTCGGAATCTGGTTCGATTCGACATGTCGCGACATCTTCCGCGCACATTACGAACATAAGCACGACACGGCGGCACGCGTGTTCTGGAAGACGGTAATGGGGTGCGAGTTGTATGTGGGACGGGGTCGGCTACCAGCGGATGTCTCTTGTCAGCTGTACTATGCACTGCTGGACCCGCATTTTACCCACGGCTGCGACGTTATGTTGGATGTGGATCCACAGTCCTTTGGTCGTTTAGAGCGGCTGAATCGGTCAATTCTTAGGCGCATTCTGGGTCTTGGACGGCGTTCCGGCATTGCTCAACTTTACTCAGAACTCGGTATCTACCCTCTTGAAGTACGACGTGCTCAGCTGGCTCTGCGGTTCTTGCGCTACCTACTTGATCTCCCTGCCTCCCAACTAGCTTACAAGGCTCTGGCCGAATCTGACTGCCTGCGTCGCAAGAACAAGTCCTCGTGGATGGGCGACTTGGCCCTCGTCCTCGCGCAATTGCCGTTCCCGATGCCTAGGCTCCCGTCGCTGGCCCGCTTGTCAACAACCGTCGTCGATAGCCTGCTCGCAGACCTACGTCATGGTGCGGGACGGTGGATATATAACAAGGTCAATACCATGGTCTCGCTTCCCTTACTCCACGGAAGGCTAGAGCCGCTGAAGGATAAGCCCTCCCGCATTATCCGAATCTGCCGGCGGCATTATCTGTCGCGCGTACCGCACACAAATCACCGTCTTGCCCTGACAAGGCTGCTGTGTGGGTCTTTCTTCTTCCGCGGACTGCACTCGCACCCGGAGAGGTTTGCACAAGAAACCCTGCTCTGCCGTCGGTGTGGGGAGGCGCCGGAGACGCCGGGACATGTCTTCATGCAATGTCGAGCGCGGGAGACAGTGGAGTTGCGCGTGGAGCTAAGGGAGATGCTGGCAGCCAGATACGGCGTTCGCCTCGGAAATACACCGACCTCGCGGAGAGCAGCAGAGGATCTGATGCGTGACTTGATATTCCACTGGGAGACAGTGGTCCCCATGGCGCGCTTCATCTACGGCGTTTGCAAGACCTGGAGCTGGTTTGGGCGTAAGCTTCCATCCATGGCTTCGGAATTGGCACCGGAGTCGGTCGACGAGCTGGAGAGGAGCGATGGAGAGAATTCAGTGGGGGAGATGGAGTAGAGAACTTGATTGGCTGGGGTGACTGGGGCTAGTGGACTGGAACGGACTTACTGGTATCTGTGCTGTATTGGCTTCATGGCTCTGACAGGAGGCAGAGGGGCGACGTACTCCTTTGAGGGTAGAGCTCACCCTCGTCTTTCGTCAGAGTCGCCCGGTACCCACATATGGGACCGCATGGGCTTATTATTATTATTATTATTAGCAATGTTTGTAAGTTGCTCGACAGTCTGGCGTCGCTCAACAGCGAGTGCTGCTATTTCGGCATAAAGACTGAGATTTCTAGCATCGATTTCTTCCAATCGTCGGCGCAGGAGCTGTGGAAAGAGCCGAGACATAATTGTGAGAGAAACCGAGAAGGCATCGCACCCAGAGTGAAGCTTTGAATTTGAAGTCGCGGTACTAAGTTTGGATGTTGAGATCGCTGCTGGCATAAACCCGGATGGGCGCTGGGCGGAAGATGCTTGGCGAATGCATTATCGCATGGGGTAGCGCGCCTTGCGCGTTGTTACTTACCAGTAAGTTAGACTTGAGTAGACTTGAGTTAGTTGTTATTTCGTGTCACACTACTAGTAAATGATCGTGCTTGTTTAAGCCGTTGGTTGCACGCATAAGCGAACCTATGTACCAGTGACATGAACTACCTTCAACTGTTATAGCAAGATACAAAAGTGGATGAATTCGTTCGTTGTGCATGCGACAAGGGAAAGTTACAACAACGTTTAACAACAGACAACAACAAGCAAACACCAGTCCCTCGTCAGCAGTTTCGTGTAGATTTCGTCTCCATCTCCGTCCTGAGCCACTTCTATGGAAAGAACGCGCCCGTCTAGAGCTTGTCGTAGTACGTATCGAGAGCGGGGATTTCGGGCTGCAGCGCCGTTAGCAAAATGGCAAAGAAGAAGGGATGACGGAAAAGTACCTTGAGACCCTTGCGTGTCCGCATCTTGGTAACGAGTTCCTCGATCTTGCTGCCCTTGTCCAATGGCGCTACAGACCCCCGTTAACACGCGACCATCTAGAACAAACCAGAATACTCACAGCCAGCCATGACTTCCCAGTGGTCGAACACACTCTGGGGGAAGGCCTGTCCGCCGGTGGCTTGTCGCAAGTCGCCGTTGAAGCCGAACGACTCGTTGACAGGGAGGTAGGCCTTGACGGTGAACATGGGCGTGCCGACACGCTGTTCTTCGCTGAAGACTTGGCCACGACGCTTGTTCAAGCAAGAGTAGATACCACCAATGGCATTCTCAGGGCACTGAATTTCGACTGCAGAGGATCAGGAATTAGATTCGAGGGAAAGCAAAAGGCAATACCGAGGTAGATGGGTTCTTGCAGAGCGGGTGTGGCAAGCAAGCAAGCAGCATAGCAAGCACGACGACATGTGGGAATGATTTGTCCTCCTCCACGATGGATAGCATCGGCATGGAGCTACAACAAGATCAACAACCACAGGTACTATGCAGAGCGAAAAAAACTGACCGTAACATCGAGCAAGTTGAACCTCACACCACGCATGTTCTCCTCGGCACAGACACCCTCCTTGGTGGCCCATTGGAGCGCAGCAATACACGAGTCCTTGATTTCGTTCAGGTACTGCACACCCTTGGTGACATCCACAAGCAGATTGGGGCCGGTCGTATCGGGACCGAAAGCCCAAATCTTACGGGCATCAGTGACATCCCAACCGAACTCGTCCGCCATGATACGCGCACGGGCCTTGAAATCGTCGCGAGAGCTGATCTTGCCGGCCTCGATCGCTTGTGTAAGCTCCTCCTCGATGGGGAGAGCCTTGACATAGAGACGGTTGTGCTTGTTTTGTGACTTGGACAGAGCAACGATAGAAGATTCGGCCTTGACGGACTCGCGGTAGGGCACGACGGGGTCAGATTGCTTGAGGGGGACACCAGCGTGGTCTTCCTCAAGATCCTGGACAAATAATTAGTCTTGGTGTGTAAAAAAGACAATATTGCTAACCTTCAAGCAAATTTCCAAGTGCAACTCGCCAGCACCAGCAACGATGTGTTCACCGGTCTCGTTAATCCAAGTTTGGACGCAAGGATCAGACTTGGACAGACGCTTGAGACCTTCAACGAGCTTGGGCAAATCGGCGGCGTTCTTGACTTCGACAGCAACCTGCACGACAGGGGACACGGAGAAACGCATGACCTTCATGTTGTGGGCAGTTTCTGAGGTGGTCAAAGTACCGCTTTTGAGCAAGAACTGGTCAACACCGACGAGACCGACAATGTTTCCAGCAGGGCAATCCTCGAGAGGCTCAATGTAACGACCCATCATGAGGACGGTACGCTGGATGGACTTGACAAAGAGATCGTCCTTCTTGCCGGGGATGTAGTTGGGGCCCTGGATACGGATTTTCGGGCCAGCGCGGACAGTACCAGCGAAGACACGACCGAAGGCGTAGAAACGACCCTTATCGGAGGTCGGCACCATCTTGGAAACGTAAAGGACAAGGGGGCCGGCGGGGTCACAGTCACGGATGGCGATGGCAGACTCGTCGTCCATGGGACCCTCGTAGAGAGTCTCAACACGGTAGCGCTGGGCGGTGGCAGGGGAAGGAAGATTGATGACAATCATTTCCAGAAGGGAGTCACCGGCAGGGAGGAAACGACGCATGATGGCCTTAAGCAGAGCTTTGCCCTCCAAGTCACGCTCATCATTTGCAAGCTTGACATCGAGTTTCTCCAGCATCGGGCCGATCGCGTCCTTTTTGAAGTTCATGACAGCATCGAATATTTTGAAGATGGGGTCAAGCACGAAAGTGTTGAAAGCACGGTCAAGGGGCTTGCCATCCGCATCGGTGCTCTTCGTCGACCATTTGCGGGTGTTGGTGTTGAAGAAGTTGTCACCCCATAGCTTGCCCATCATCTTTTCCTTGTCGACACCGAACTTTTTGGCATAGCGGGCCGCAAATTGACGAAGAGTGAATCCCCATCCGTGCAGACCAGAACCGAAAGCGACGGTACCCTTGTCGGGGTAGACCTGGACGTCACCGAGAGCCACGTCATGATATGTGGAGATAATGACATTGACGCTCTCGATCGTTCGCGAGAATGATTGGTACAAGTCCTCTTTCGAGACTTGGAGCTCGAGGAGGGCACGGTCCACCTTGTTGATAATGACGACAGGCTTGATACGCTCACCGAGCGCTTGTCGCAGGACCGTTTCAGTCTGCACGCAGACACCTTCAACACAGTCGACGACGACCAAAGCACCGTCAGTGACACGGAGTGCAGCAGTGACTTCCGATGAGAAGTCAACGTGGCCGGGGCTCTGTAGAGAAGTAAATATAACATCAGCAGCTCACTCAGCAGCTATAACAAAAAGGCGACGAACGTCAATCAGGTTAATAAGGAACTCAGGGCCGTCGGTTTTTTGCTTAATCGAGGGAAGCTCTTCCTTGTCGACTTCAAAGTACCTGATAACGGTCAGCGTGGGCTCGGAGTAGGTGACAATGCTAGCACGCACATTGAGATAGCCGTCGACTTGATCGTGATTCCACGTTCTTTTTCGTCGTCTCTCGTATCCGTGAATCGCATGTCACCAGCGTTCTTGGCGGCAATGATACCAGCCTTCGACACCAGCGAATCGGTGAGGGTGGACTTGCCGTGGTCGACTGATGAAGAGATGAGCCATAATCTAAAATCGCCATCGGCAACGACAACCGAAACCTACCATGGGCAATGACACTCATGTTCCGGATGTTTGTCGGCCGGTCCATGAGGGCCCGAATCTGGTCTGCACATCGTCAGTCAGCGACAACCGCCCCACGAAAAATTTCATCGATTATCGCAATACTTGCCTACGGTGAAGTTGCTAGCATCCAAGATCAGCAAATGGAGTCTGGAAGAGCATTACAGGGACTTACACCATGGTGGGTGTCTACGATGGTGGGGGAAAGAGGAAGAAAGATTGGTGAGGCGGTCTCGATGGTCGTTACCGAAAGACGTCACACTTTTTGATGACTGTGCAAGACCCAGCGTGACAAATCTCGGGATCGTTGCCGGGAGAAGGGAAGCGCAAATATGATTTCGGACTACGCTGCAAGCCATGTAGCTAACCAAATAACCAGCCCTAGCGCGACGACCACAGCAGCGAGATCGTCCAAGAACATCGACCCCATTTGGAAATATTTCATTCCGTGTACTATGACCGAGGGTATTGGCGCAGGCAGGCTTGGAAGCACAAGTGCGAGTAGTGTTGGTGGACGGAATGTATCCTATGCAAGTTAGCTTTGGTCTGAAAAGAAGTAGAAATAACCTACGAAACCAGAAAATATCCGCAAAGAATGCAGACCCAACTCCAACGTCACGAAAGCCCAAAAGAAAGGCTGCGAGTATAGTTAGGTTGACTGAGTTATGTTTGAGCGGCCAACTCACCACCACTTGCACCCCCCAGACTATCGGAACTCCCCCTCGATCTCTCCCGTTCCCCAACAATCTTCTCCACCTCCAAGCAATCCCTGACCCGTCCACCTCGGGATGCAAATGCGTCGCTGGCTCCCTCACCAAAACAAAGTAAATCACTAGCGCCCAGACTGACAGCACGTGTATCGCAGGTAAGACACGCTGCGGACGCGTTTTTGGAGGCACAACAGCTGGCATCTTCCCCGCCGCGTTGTTTGTCGCATTAGCCATGAGCGCAGCGAGCCCGCCAGCATCGTTTTCCTCTCCAGGACCAGCTTGGCTTTGGGCTTGGGCAGCGGACATTAGTGCCGCCAACGGATTTCCGTTCCCAAACAAATTCGGAGAATTCCCAGCGCCTCCCATGCCCATTCCCCCACCCATCAGCGCCTGAAGAAGCTGGGCCTGTTGCTCCGCTGACCACGCAGACGGGTCGCCTGCATTTCCGCCACCAAACAAGTCAAAGTCTGGCGCAGGCACACTCGCCTCTCGTGAAACAGTCCGTTGTTGTTGTCTAATAGGTCTTTGCGGTGACGGACTGGGGCTCGGGGTTGGCATCCCCATGGTCTCCTCTCCAACAAAGCTACTGCTGCTCAATCGTTGGTTTTGTGTTTGTGTTGATTCTGGGTCGAATTGTAAGTCAAAGAAGAAAGATACGCAATGCTAACGCACCGCTGGTACTCGGCGCAGGATTCGTCATAAGGTCCTCTGTCCGTCCAGAAGATGTAGTCAATTTGGCCAGTCGGTCAGTTCCGCGACTGAGAATAGCTTTACGACGCGCTTCGGCGCGAGCAGCGGCAGAAGACATAGTTTGGCGGGTACAGAGACAACAGAAAGAAGAGGCGTGAACAGAGAAAAGGTCGTGACTCGTGAATGTTCGCTGGAAGAAGCAGCAAGCAAACCGAAAGATGTGTGTGCTGGCGTCATATTTTGATTGCGTGTCACTTTTTTTGAAGCAACTCGAAGGTTACACCAAATTTGAGCATATCTCTATAGGCAAAAATCGAAAAAAACGGGTAGTGCACTTGAAGTGTAAAACAGTACTCTCCTCTCAGACTAGATTCAAACTGTGGGAGATGTTCGTCTCCGAAATAAATGCTTTCAACCGTGTTGCTGGGGATTACAGGAAGTGGCAAAGAAAGAGAGAGAATATATAATAAGCTTAGAGAACCAGCCGATCGAGAGCGAGGTAGTGCGTATGTGATGTTTTCGGATGAATGCAAATGCGCAGTAAGAAACATATCAATCATGAACAGCATCCAGCGGGTTGACTGGCGGAAGACGGCTGGTTGATTTGCACACCATTCCTTGCAGGGGCACCCGCAGCACCAGCATCACCGCCTTGCGAGTCAATAAGGCGGGCTTTGATGTCCCTTTCAGAGCGTCAGATGTGGACCTATGATGGACGGCAAACGCACCTCGCGAGAGTGAAGAAAGCCTCTTCAACGCCATCATTGACCTTGGCGGACGTCTCCATGAACTTGATGCCCAGTTCGTTGGCGAGTTCGCGGCCTTGCTCCTCCGTGACTGCGCGCTTGTCGGTCCAGTCTGACTTGTTGCCGATGAGGATCTTGTTGACGCCTTCTGAAGCGTGCTGCTCGATATTGGCGTGCCAGGTGCGGATGTCTAAAACAGGGCAATTGGAATTCAGGCAGGCTGCGGAAGCAGACGACTCACTGTTGAACGAGCGCTCGTCAGTAACGTCGTAGACAAGCAGGATACCCATGGCACCCCGGTAGTACGCCGTGGTTATCGTTCTGAAACGTTCTTGGCCCGCAGTGTCCCACTATCCACGTTTAGCGTTGCGGTTTCCAAGACAAGCGAGGCATACAATTTGGAGCTTGATTCGCCGGCCGTCCAGCTCTATGGTCCGAATCTTGAAGTCAATACCGATAGTCGTGATGAAAGAAGGCGTCCATGCATCGTCGCAGAAGCGGAGCAGCAGACACGATTTGCCTACACCCGAGTCGCCAATGAGCAGAAGCTGTTGTTCTGAGTCAGAGGTGGGAAACATGCTGTCCAGCTAGCTACACACCTTGATGAGAAAGTCATAATGTGGGGACATGGTGCTGGAGAGTTTCGGTGGATGGTGGTGGCCTGAGATTTGGTGATGTCACACTCTGTGACAGGCGGTACTGCCCTTGCCCTTTACTCCTCAACAACTTGTGAGTGTTTGGCCGTTTCCTTCAGTGTAAACGGTGCTTACCCGGCTGTGTCAGATCCCTAGACTTTACGATGGAGGACGAAGTTGCCGCTCTTGTGCTTGACAATGGTTCGGGTATGTGCAAGGCTGGTTTTGCTGGCGACGATGCTCCTCGAGCTGTCTTTCCGTATGTTCTCCCCTTCCCCGAGATCCTGAAAAATGACCGACCGTTCTCTAGCTCTATTGTCGGCCGACCCCGTCACCAGGGTGTGATGGTCGGGATGGGCCAGAAAGACTCTTATGTCGGGTAGGTTTGCTATCGTCCACATCTGAGACGACATCGCCGCTCATCGTGTCCACTTCAGTGACGAGGCGCAATCCAAGCGTGGTATTTTGACTCTCAAGTACCCTATCGAGCACGGTATTGTCACCAACTGGGACGACATGGAAAAGATTTGGCACCACACTTTCTACAACGAACTCCGTGTCGCGCCTGAGGAGCACCCGGTCCTGCTCACGGAAGCGCCCCTCAACCCGAAAGCCAACAGGGAGAAGATGACCCAAATCATGTTCGAGACTTTCAACGTCCCTGCATTCTACGTTTCGATCCAGGCCGTGCTTTCCCTATACGCCTCTGGCCGTACGACCGGTATCGTGCTTGACTCTGGTGACGGTGTCTCCCACACTGTCCCTATCTACGAGGGTTTCTCTCTCCCTCATGCTATTCTCCGTCTCGATTTGGCCGGTCGTGACCTCACTGAGTTCCTGATCAAGAACTTGACCGAGCGCGGCTACCCATTTACCACCACCGCCGAGCGCGAAATTGTCCGTGACATCAAGGAGAAGCTCTGTTATGTCGCTCTCGACTTCGAACAGGAATTGCAGACGGCGGCTCAATCATCCGCCCTGGAGAAGAGTTACGAGCTTCCCGATGGACAAGTTATCACCATCGGCAATGAGCGTTTCCGTGCCCCTGAGGCCCTCTTCCAACCCGCTTTCCTTGGTCTTGAAGCTGCCGGTATCCACGAAACGACGTTAGTTTTCTCGTCACTTTTTTGCTTTTACTCACCTTTCGCAAAACAGCTTCAACTCCATCTTCAAGTGCGATCTCGATATCCGTCGCGACCTCTACGGCAATGTCGTTCTTTCTGGCGGTACCACCATGTTCCCTGGTATCGCGGACCGAATGCAGAAGGAGCTGACCTCGCTGTCCCCGGCAAGCATGAAGGTCAAGATTGTTGCCCCGCCAGAGCGCAAATACTCCGTCTGGATCGGTGGCTCCATCCTTGCCTCGCTCAGCACTTTCCAAAACCTGTGGTGCTCGAAACAGGAGTACGACGAGTCGGGGCCTGGTATCGTTCACCGCAGTATGCAGTTTTTACTTTGTTCTTGAGGAGCGGGAGTACTGATTATTTGACAGAGTGCTTCTAAAACAGTTTGCTGTGCTGCTGGATGGAGTAGTACTTAATTATTCACTTAGTAGTCGCCTTGAGAGAAATTGTTTTCCTTCCTCTTCTAAGTACTGGATGCCTTTCCATAACTCAGATCGTGTGTTGCTCACCTCTAGCGGATGACGAGACTGAAGCAGTTGACAAATAATGCATTCTGGAGTCTTGTGCTTCCCATAACGCACTTACTCAAATGTAACTGACGGTGTTTTAGCAGGCCGCGTCAACAACGCGGCCGCGGCAGTTTCCTTCAGTTTTCGGAAAACTGAAAGTCTCGGCTCAAGAATGACACACCTCCCACTCGATGCCATCACTTGGAACATAAGTGAAAAGGACAAAGGCTGACACAAACATCCAGAAAGGTGCCAATCCTGTGCAATGCCCATGGGAACATTCCCGTGGGCATGTTCCCATGGGCATTATCCTGTAGGATAGAAAAATCAAACCTGTAGTATATAATATTTCTCCTGTGGCATGAATGAAGCCTGTAGGATTATTTTTTCTACAGGTGACTTTCCTGACCTTTTCTATCCTGTAGAGTGGTCTCATTATATCCCTGCAGAATAATTATCTTGCAGGTTAGTATATAACCTATAGGACAAACAAGTCTGTTATCCTGCAGGAACCAGTTATCCTATAGGGTACCTAGAGTCGGGTCTCTATTTATCATACAGAATAAGTTTACTCTTCTTTCAAATTGGATGTTAAGTACCACACAAAAACCAAAGGAGAGAGGCAGAGAGTCCAAAGGGAATCCAAAAGGTTTCTAAGGCTACAATACTACATCAGATAAAGCTAACCGGGGTATATTTCAAAAATACTACCACTACGGCTCATAAAGCAACTACAGATCTTATAGACTGAATATAAGCCTAAACTTGAACAAATATGTGAGATCCTGAAAATATATTCAGGCAAGAGAGTAAGAACTCAGAATGCAGAGGATTCAGATGAAAGCAGGGAGCAAGGATAAGTGTTCACTAGTGTTATGGTTCAGGTCGGGCCAACAGGCTGTCCACCCCCTGCAGGGCCATTCGGGCCTGATGTCCTATCCCTTGCCTCGACTCCCCATCCCTCTAACCCCTTCCTTTCACCCCTATGAGGGCCCTATGTAGTGCCTAGCATGCTTGAGGCCTTCTGTGCTCTGCGTTGGTAAGTACAGATGACCAGTATATAGTTGGTGCCCTAGCAGGTGGACCCTTAGAGCTTCTTCTCTTTGGATCCTCCCCTGTTAGGTTGTGTCAGACAATGACGCGACGGATAAGCCGCGATCTTAATCTAATCTATGCTACATTCCGATCTCAGCTACTGGAACCTGGACGACGGGATGAGCCCCTGAGCTCACTCTCGTCATACCAGGTATGACCCTTTTACTTATTGCATTTGTACCTACCCTGAGCTCACTCTCGTCGTACCAGTCGTCCAATATACTCTGGTTTTCACAGGTTATGGGCCCCGCCTGAAATCTGCACACAAGAAATCACACATTCAGGCTAGATACTCCCTACAGCTCCTAAACCAACGCTACCAGTCTACCCAACTTGCTACTTGCTCGCAAACCATCTACTTTTCCCAACAAGCACTTCACCACGGCATATCCATACAAGTCTCTATTCGAAAGAATGAGCTCGGGCGACAACGACAAGGAATGGCGAGTACTGAAACTCACTCCTATCGTCAAAGCTGCAGACGGCAGCAACAACTACGCCGAATTCCAAACCAAAGCAATGAGAAAGCTTGATGCTGCAGGATACTGGCAATATATCGACGGTCCAGACTATAAGCCGCCCGTTATTCCAACACTGGTCCAAAGTCAAGTACATACCGGGGTTGACCAAACAGGCAACACCACCACCATTACCACGCAAGGGAACGAAGTAGCTGTCAATGTCGCGAAGAAGGCTGCAGAAGCCTGGTTGATACAAGACAAGAAAGTGTTGTCCACAATCACCAACGCCGTTCCAATGGCCAAGTTGTATGTCATCAACGACTGTACGACAGCGTGTCAAGCTTGGATGGCGCTGAAAGAGGCGTACGAACCGACAAATACCCTAACAGCGGTTACGCTCAAGCGCCAAATAACGTCGTTCTTCTGTGGGTCAGGAGACCCAGTAGCTTGGAGAGTCTCTATGCTCCAGCAATACCAGAAGCTTCGTCGAGCAGATCCTAACATGATGCCGGACCACGAATTTGCCAAGTGTTTGGTAACGAATATGTCGCAAACGGAGAAATGGCGATACTGTCGAGATTCGCTCCTCCAAGAAATGATGCTGTCCGAAAAGGCGGGGAAGCCGCTCAGCTCTGCAGACGTGTTGACCAGATTGCAAACTGAAGAGGCGTTTAAGGCCTCAACCTCTGGCACCGTCACCAGTACTGATACTGACACTAGCACAGTCGCTACTGCGTCATTAGCACAATCCTCACAACGACGATTCCAGCAAAGATCGTACCAATGCGGAGAGCGTCGTCCAGCTCCATATGACCGCCGTAATGCCAACGCTCCACCAAATGACTCTCCACATCGTGATCGACAACATTTGTTTTGCGAGAATGTCGAATGTTCCACCCCAATTGGCCATTGCCAAGCCGACTGCTTTGCTTACAAAGGAGGGAAAGAGGGTCAATATCCAGATACTTATCACGGGTCGCGATTTATTCACCTTCCACCAGCGGAGAGAATTGCTGCATCGAGACGCCAAGCTCGACAGAACCAGGGAAGGAACAGAGGAGGTGGAGATCGATTTGTGGGAATGCTGGAGTTCACAGAAGATGGCGAGAAAGAGGTGTTGGAGGCAGTGAGCAACGAGACGATAGGTGCCGGTTATGTGTTTATGACGGGCCAAATGGACATCGATGAAGAACACGAAGATGAAGGTGACATCTGGGTTAACGCGGTCAATGTGGTGCCCAGTGGTACCAGCGGTGAACCACCACGCACCGACCATGTCTACCATGACACAGGCGCTTCGCGCCACGTCTTCAACGACATCGCCTCGTTCCAAGAATACAAGTGTTTTCGAAACCCCGTGAACGTACACAGTTTTGGCACGAACCTCACTACACACGTGTTAGGAAAAGGGAAGGTATTCTTGGAAGGAACTCACCCGTCGAACACCAACTTCGCACTGACCAATAGTCTCCACATCCCCACGGCTCGTTGCAATCTTATCTCCGGCACCCAGTTAGACTTGAAGGGTGTCCAAACGGAAACGGGGGGAGGCCGCATTGACTATTACAATGCTGAAGGGTTTCCATTCGCGTCAGGAGAGATAGTCGGCGGGCTATACAAGATGGGAGTCAGGATCATCAAGAGCAAAAATCCGGAAGCAAATTTGACCCAAAATCTCACCAATTCGACAAATAATTCCGCGGAAGCTGATTTTGGTGCAGATCTCATCAACACGACAACGGCAGACACCGTGGCGGTCCTTGGACCTGACGCCGATGCGTCGTCAAAGCAGGAGGTTTTTTCCA